CCCCCCCCCCAGTCACTGTGCTCAGCTTTCCCTGTGTCGGTCCTGTCCGCTCTCCCGCGAGGGAGCAGAGGTGACCTCCTGGCTGACACCCTGTCTGTTCTTGCAGACGTCCCAGGGCAGGTCTCGCTGGCCGGGCTGGGCTCAGCTGGGAGGTGGGGGGAGCTGGGAGAAGGGTGGCTTGGGGGGCGCCGCAGGGCCGTCCTGCAGCAGAGGGCACGGCCAGGTCTCAGCCCGGAGGGCAGGGAGGGGCTGAGGCCCTGGCGTGAGGCCGGTGGGGGCCGATTTGAGCCCAGGATGGGAGCTTTCCCCAAGCTCCCGAGTGCCCTTCCCGCCGGGCTGGTGCAGGCAGGCTTCTCCCCCGGGGAGGTCGGCCCCAGCTCTGGCTTGCTTCCGGCCGGAGCCGCTTGGCGTCAGCCTGCTGGAGCCCCTGGGCTGAGCCGGCCACCTGTGCTTCCCACAGGGAGTACACCGAGGACGGGCAGGCGAAGAAGGAGACGAGGTTCTCCTACAGTGAGTGCCGGGCCCTCCCAGGGCTCTGCCCCTGCGAGGGACGGGGCTGTGGGTGGGGCGGGGGGAAGGGCGCAGTGCCAGGCCTTGGGTTCCCGGGTGCCGTCCCTTAGAGCCCCGTTCTGCCTCCCACCCGGTGAGGCTCTGTGAGCCCCCATTTGGCCCCCAAGTGCCACGGCTCGGATAAAAGGACCCGGGTCAGTGGCCTCAGCCACGTGGCCACTTCCCGTGGTTCCTGAGTTGCTCCCTCCCCCCAAGCAGACACGGAATGGAGGTCGGAAGTCGTCAACAGCAGAAACTTCGACCGAGAGATCGGCCACAAAAACCCCAGGTGAGGGCTGGGCCAGGCCCGAGGGCAGCCTCGCCTGTACCGGCCGGTCTCCAGCCTCAGTTTCCTCGTCTGAGTAGTGGGGCCGGGTTAATTCTGCCTCGGGGGTCGATGAAGACGCGGCTTTGAGGCCAAGCCCGGTGCTGGGCATCGGGAACGCGGGCGAGAGTCGTCTCCCCAGCCCCAGACAGGCTCCCCTCAAACACGTCACCCGCGCAGGGACCGGACTCGGTGTCTAAAGGGATTTGCACAGACAGCGCCAGGGGGACGCTCTGTTCGCAGTTCGCGCTCGTCGGGGGGACGGGCAAGAAAGGCTTTCGGGCAGTCGCGGCGCTTGACCCGGGCTGCGGGGTCTCAGCAGAGGGAAGTTAGCTCAGCAGCGCGGGGTGGGGAAGGGGCGCGACGTTCGGGCTTGGCCGCGCGAGGGACGGCCGTGCTGGGAGGGCGGTCGGGGCTCTGGGTGCCGTCCAGGCTGGGAGGGCCGGGCCGGGCTGTGGAGTCCGGGAGGGTCCGTCTGACGGGTGGGGGGCCGGGCTGTCGCCCCCGTGGGGACCTGCACGGCACAGACAGCCCCCGGGACACTGGCGGCTGCCACGCCCGGCCGTCCCCGACGACCCGTCTCCTCCCCAGCGCGATGGCGGTGGAGTCCTTCACCGCCACGGCCCCCTTCGTCCAGATCGGCAGGTTCTTCCTCTCGGCAGGTGAGTCTCGGCCCGTCCAGAGGGAAGGCTTCGCCTCGGCCTCGGCGATCCGGGCTCCGATCCCGGCCTGACCGGGAAGGCGCTGAGGCCTAGACGGCCGAGGGGAGGCTGCGGACGAGATCGGGAAGGGGCGGCGGGCGGGCGGGAGGGCTGCGTGCGCAGGTCCCGAGGGCGCGGGGGAGGGCCTGCCGCTGCGGGACCTGCAGACCGCGGTTTCCCGCGAGGCACTGTGGTGTCGAGTCCCCACCCCCGCCCCCCAGGCCTCATCGACAAGGTTGACAACTTCAAGCCGCTGAGCCTGTCCAGGCTGGAGGACCCGCACGTGGACATCATTCGCCGCGGAGACTTCTTCTACCACAGCGAAAACCCCAAGTACCCGGAGGTGCGTGGACGGGCTTGGGCTCGCCGAGCGGCGGAGGTCGGGCCCTGAGGGTCGCGTCCCTGGGGACAGCCATGGCCCAGTCCCGCTTCCGCCGGATCCACCGCTGGACTTGGCCCAGAGAATCGCGGGGGAGACGCCTTCCGGGGGACGGCGCGGCCCGGGCACAGGCGTGGGGTGGGAAGGAGCCTGAGGGGCCTGAGGCGTCCCGGGCCCTGCCTCAGTCTCCCCACTTCTCCACCCGCAGGTTGGAGACCTGCGTGTCGCCTTTTCCTACGCGGGACTGAGCAGCGACGACCCCGACCTGGGCCCGGCTCACGTGGTAACCTGGCTTCCCGGGGGCAGGCCGTGGGTCAGGGCTTCGTGGCCACCCTGGGCACGGACGCTTCAGACGGTGTTCAGAACACTTGCCCCGTCTGGACAGGCCCCACTCACACGGGCGGGCGGCCAGGCCTCTGAGCAGCGTCAGAGGTTGTGTCCCCGCAGCCTGCACCGACCCCAGGCTGGGAGGGACCTCCCAGCTGAACCGCGCCTTCCTAGAGCTGATCCGATCCCATGCGGCCTCCCTGCCCCGGCCCCTGCGCTTTGATCTGTGAATGCCTGGTCTTGCCTCCGGACTGTGTGTGGTCCCGCCCGGCCCAGCCCTGCCCGGCCCGAGGTCCTGCCTGGAGCTTCCAACGAGCAGCTCAGCCAGGGCTCCGGGCTGGCGCGCCCGGGGGCATTGGGAGAAGCCGCTGGGTGTCTGCATGTGCTCCCCAGTGGCTGTCAGCCGGCGCCACGTCCCCTGTCGCGCCCTCTGACACACGCCTCTCTGACCAGGTCACTGTGATTGCCCGGCAGCGGGGTGACCAGCTAGTCCCGTACTCCACCAAGTCTGGGGACACCTTGCTGCTGCTGCACCACGGGGACTTCTCGGCGGAGGTGAGTTGCTGCCGCCTTGCCCGTGCGCTGGAGGGACAGGTGTGTCCTTCCCTTCTCCCCTCCAGGGGTGGTTTACTGAGCTCCGTGACGAGAGGTCACAGGCAGTGAATGAGGCAAGAGAAAGAAATAGAGAAATGTGAGTTGAGTGTCCCTTGTCCAAAATCCCTGACCAGCTTTCAGTTCTTTCGGATTTTGGAATATCTGCCTATATATTGTCAGTGGAAAAAAAAGCAAACTCTGTAAAACGATTTTAAAGAGATTTACTCTGAGCCAAATTCGAGGACCATGACCCGGAGCCACGCCCAAGAGGCCTTGAGCAGTGGCCTCACTGTGGCCGGGTCACAGTTTGGTTTTACACGTTTCAGGGAGACGGGTGACAGGTAAGGCTGCATTGGTTTGGCCCGAAAAGGTGGCCCATCTCAAAGCGGGGCTTACAGGTTATAGGTGGGTTCAAAGAGTCTTCGGCTTGTGATTGCTAAAGACATGAAGCTTTGCCTGCAGGCCTGGAATGTTCCAGCACAGGAGCTGTTAATGAGAGAGGAGCCACAGGTCTTAGATTTGTTGTGCAAATTGAGGACTCGCAGGTGTGTCTTGCATAAATGGGTTACAGAGGACGTCCCCAAGAAGGGAGGGGGCCTGTCTGACCTCCCCCTCCTGGCAGTTCAGCTTTAGGATATTCCTCTGGCCACGAGAGTGTCCCTTTAGTCAGCCGGTGGGGGGGAGCCTTAAAATTTTATTTTAGTTCACAATATGATGAGATGTCTTGGGGGTGGGACCCAAATCTAAACACGAAATTTATTTTATGTTTCTTATGCACCTTATATACGTAGCCTGAAGGTAATTCCATGCAATAGTTTTAATAACACGCAACCCATCCCGTGAGGTCGTGTGTGGAATCTTCCACTGTGCTGCAATGGTCGGTGCTCACAAAGCCTCGGATTTTGGAATTTGGGGTCAGGGACGCTTGGCCGGCAGTAAACCCCTGCGTGTGCAGGACTGAACAGTCTGCAAAACAGAACCTGCCCTCGCAGACTTCCCGTCTTGGAGGGGACGGAGGGATCAGTCGGAAATGGTGACACCACGTTAGCCGAGTGTGTCAAGGGGAGGACGGGGGCTGCGGGCAGACGGGCATCGTGACGGGACGTCAGTCTCTGCGGCGACATTTTGCTGAGGCCCAGTGAAGAGAAGGGTCCAGCCTGGAAGAACGGGTCAGTCAGTCCAGGCGGGAACAGCCCCGGGTCCCGGGCGACAGGCGCCACACGCGGGGCAGGGCGCAGGCGGCGAGGCCGTGGAGGGCGGAGGCCACACTCGGGCGGTGACGGGTTTTGAGCTGGAGGGTCCCCGGGTGGGCGAGGGGTCCTCGGCTCTGTGGGGTCCGTCCCCCCATCTGTGAACAGCAAGGGCCGCGCCTTAAAAGTGAGCCTCTGTCCGCTAAGCAGGGAATCTTCTCCTCAACAGCAAAGTACAGGTTTTATTTTTTTCCCGGTGCTGGTGAACGCAGCGTATTTCTGGGGGGACGTCCTGCACCTGCCTGAGACAGGACTGCTGGATTTTTCTTCCAGAAGGGCAGGTGTCGGGTTACTGGCGGCCTGTGGTTCCTGTGACCTGCCCTCGGCCGCCATCCGCCCCCAGCCTCCCAGCCCCTTAGCGGTCCCGGGGCTTCGGCCAGTCCTTGCACCTGGCTGTTGCCGGAAGCCCACTGTTCAGCCTCAGGTGGGGCCACCTCCCGCCTGCTGGGCCACGACTCGCCCTTTCCAGCGCTGAGGGTCCCTGAGGAGTCTCCGACGTCCGGAGGCCCCGTCCAGGCCTCGTTCTGTCTCGCGGGACGTCACCTGGCTCCGGGCTTGCAGGCTGCTGCAGGCGGGGACCCAGGTCTCAGCCGCCTTCCCGAGGGGAGTGGGGGGCTCGCGGCTTAGGTGACCCCGGAAGGGCAGGCGGCCTCCTCGCCAGCCTGGGCCCCGCCGTTCGGAGTCCCAGATCCCTGCATCCCTCCACCCGGCCGCGACACGCAGGGTCCGGGGTCTCGGCCAGCGGGAGGAGCCGAGGAGGCCGCCCCAGCCCTCCAGTCCCGGGGCAGAGGGCGCGGCGGCCCAGTGTGAGCGCTGCAGGGGGGCTCTGCCGGCCACCCGCCGGGGGAGTTTGAGCCGCTCTGTTCCGTCCTCCCAGAACCCTTTTCCTGTTCTGTGAAGTGGAAATTCGGGACAAGTGTTACCGTCGTCGTCCCTGGCTGACGGGGTTGTCGAGGATCATTCATTCATTCATTCATTCATTCAGTGAGTTCCTGTCGAGCTTGGAGTCTAGTCGACTGCGTGGGGCGAGGCCCTGCGTGCGTCACTTCTCCTCTCAGGCCTCAGTTTCCTCGTCTGTTGAATGGGGATGAGTGTTGCTACCTCGCTGAGTTACTTGGGGGATTAAGTAAGAAAATAAAGGGAAGACAGCGAGCAGCAAGTGTTGCCTGCTGTCGTGGTCACGGAGTGTGACAAGGGGCCTGGCTTAGGTCGGGGGCCGGGGAAGCTCCCCGCAGAGAAGACATCTAAGCCGAAACCGCGAGAGCGTCTAGGAGCGGCCAGGGGCCGTGTGCGCAGACGCGTTCCAGCCCGAGCAGACCACACGCAAAGTCCCAGAGGCGCGAGGACGCCTGACTTGCCCTCGGGTCGGCAGCCGGCGGGACGGGGCGCAGGCGCAGGGGCCGAGGGGGCTCTGCATGGAGGACGTGGTGGGGAGGCAGGGGGGCCCCCACGTGGTCTGCAGAGGGACGGCGGCGGCGGCATAGGTCGGGCCGGACGGTGGCGACAGACTTGGGAGGTGGGACGCGGAGTCAGAGCCGACGGGCTTGCCAGGGGGCTGGACAGGGTGGGGCAGAGCGGGGCGGGCAGCAGCGAGCGTGCCACGTCTGACCCAGGGGTCAGCGTGTGCTGAGCCAGTGCGGGACGCGGCGCTGTGACTCTGAGGGCCGAGGACACGGGGCATCCGGGGGGCAGAGTGTGGCCCGAAGCATTCGGAGGACAGGAGGGGGGGGACGGCGGCGGAGGCCCAGGAGGGTCCCAGGGCCGCGAGCAGAGTCTGAGGTCAAACAGCTCAGCGCACAGAAGGTCGCGCACCGGGCCGGGCCTGCCGACATGGCCGTCGAGTGATGGGGGACGGGCAGGGACCCACGAAGGTGCCGCTGCGGCGGGCAGAGGGTCACGTTTGTTCCAGGCGGGACTGTGGGCTGAGGGCTGCGGGAGGGGCGGCTGCGGCAACCAAGGCCAGCACCTGCGCAGAGATCCCGCGGGCCCTGCGGGCGGCAGAGGGACCCAGAGCCGGGGGAGGTTTGCCCGTCTCCCTCGGGCCCTCGGCCCGTTCCAAAGCGACCGGCAGCTCCCGCGTTGGCGGCGGCCCCTGGGTCTGACGTGCCCCGCCCGTCCCCAGGAGGTGTTTCACAGGGAGCTGAAGAGCAACTCCGTGAAGACCTGGGGCCTGCGGGCCGCCGGCTGGATGGCCATGTTCATGGGCCTCAACCTCATGACGCGGATCCTCTACACGCTGGGTAGGTGCGCGGCGCGGCGGGGGGGGGGGGGCGCCCTTCCCCGCCACCGTCTGTCGCCCCCTGTCGCCCTGCCCACCTGGGGGCTGCTCCCGGGCCGTCCCTGTCCCTGATCCGCAGCCGCGGGCCGGGTGAGCAGAGGAAGGCCGGCTGACTCCTAGGAGGCCGGGCGGCCTCCGCGAGCCGAGGTCGGGCTGTACCCGTCCGTCTCGCTCCTTCCCTCCCTCCCCAGTCGGGCGGCCGTGGCGGGGGCCGGCCAGGCCTGGATTTGACGTCTGCTCTGCCCACGCTCTGCATCCGTGGCCTCGCCTCCCGCCCCAGCTGCCGGGACCTCACCCCTAATGTGCAGGGCTTGGGGGCGTTTGCAGACAGGGAGGTCTCGCAGGCTGTTAGTTTCCTCCCGACTCCAGACCAGGCCGCTGGCAGCCGGCCGCAGAGGGCAGCGTCCGCAGGCTGCTGGCGCGGCCTGGCCCGGCTCGGTCTGAGCGCCCTGGCTCTGCGGCAGTGGGGTTCCCAGGGGACCCTCCACGCAAGCCTTTGCCCCAGTGTGTCCCCATCCAGCCTCCTCTGGGGCCGACAGACGCCTCTGCCCCACTCGCCACTGCCCCGCTGGGAGACGGACACCCCAGACCGCCAGGGCCGGGAGGACGCTCCCCGGGTCCCCGCTGGGAAGACAGGCCTGGGACGGGAAGGCCGCTGTGGCCGAGGCTTTCCGGGACGGCTGCGCGTGTTCAGGGGGACCAGCCGCGTCTCGGGGACATCGGGGAGGTTCAAACAGGACCCCGTGTCGTCTGTGTGGGCTGGGTCGGGCCGGTCCCCCCTGGAGCCGCAGCTCCCGCGTCCTCGGTCTCAGGGATGCATCCAGATCGTTCTTGGACCTCTGACCCCTGCGGTCGGGCGTCTTCCCCGTCGCGGATACTCAGGACAGACGCAGGGCACGGAGGGGTCCCCGGGGGGGGGTCAGTCGGGAGCTGCAGCAGGGAAGCACACGTGTCCCCGTCGTCCCGTAAACAGTGACCAGGCCCTGGGGACCAGGCAGTGAGCACGGCTGGCCCCACGAGGCTTAGGGCGATGGCCAGGCGGTCTTGAGTACAGATCCTGGTTCTGGCACTTTCTACTAGCAGTTGGGGTGAGTTTCTTAACTCCTTGAGTCTCAGTGACCTTGTGGGTAAAATGAGTTAAGGATAGCACCTACCAGCCGGGCGCGGTGGCTCCCGCCTGTGATCCCGGCACTCTGGGAGGCCGAGGCGGGAGGATCGCTCGAGGTCAGGAGTTCGAGACCAGCCTGGGCAAGAGAGAGACCCCGTCTCTACGAAAAATAGAAAGAAATTAGCTGGTCAACTAAAAATACATAGAAAATACTAGCCAGGCATGGTGGCTCACGCCTGCAGTCCCAGTACTCTGGGAGGCCGAGGCGGGAGGATCGCTCAAGGTCAGGAGTTCGAGACCAGCCTGAGCAAGAGAGAGACCCCGTCTACTAAGCATAGAAAACTTAGCCGGGCGTGGTGTCTTGCATCTGTGGTCCCAGCTACTCGGGAGGCCGGGGCAGGAGGATCGCTCGCAGTCTAGCCAGGGCATCGGAGCGAGGCTGTGTCTCAAAAATAAAAGAAAAAAATAGTTCCCGCCTCACGGGCAGGCACGAGGGGCTCTTGGACGGTGCACGTGGTGCCTGACTCGGGGTCACCACTGAGCAGCATGAACTGTGCGCCGTGAGCGCCAGTCGAGGCGCCGTGTGGGCCCAGAGGATTCGAGGCCGGGAGGTGGCTGCAGGGCGTCCTGTGGGCGCGGCGGGCGCCGGGCCTCGCCCTGCAACCCAGTGAGGCTGCACCGCGGGGCCTCCTGGGAAGGCCCCCGTGGACGTCAGCCGTGGAATCCCAGACAGGCCAAGAACAGGGACTCCCGATGCATTTGGCTTAACCCTGGACTTCGTCCTGTTGGCCCGTGAGGGTCTTGAGGCGGAGGCCGGCAGGCAGGCTGTTTCCCTCAGCACCGGCACAGTGCTGGGCACACAGGGGCGTCTTGCTCAGTGCCCGCCTCCAGGAGTGGCCGGGGGTGGCTCGGGGAAGGGGTCGCCTGCCTTCCGGCCCCCGGGCCCCGCCTGGCTTTGCTAGCAAGGGTCAGAGACGGGTCTGTGAGCCGAGACGCGGCGCAGGCGGCCCCGAGCCTGACGCCCTCTCTCCCCGCAGTGGACTGGCTCCCCGTCCTCCGGGACCTGCTGGACGTCGGCCTGAAGGCCTTCGCCTTCTGCGTGGCCACCTCGCTGACCTTGCTCACCGTGGCCGCCGGCTGGCTCTTCTACCGGCCCCCGTGGGCCGCCCTGTTCGCCTGCCTGGCCCTGGTGCCCGTCATCGTGGCCCGGACACGGGTGCCGGCCAAGAAGCTGGCGTGAGGCAGGCCCCGGCACCCGCCGGCAGGACCCAGGCCACCGAGGTCACCCGGGTCTGGGATCCTGCACCCCTTCCCGCCCGCCAGCAGCTTTCGGGCAGAGCCCTGCCAATTTCCTGCCTTTCTCCACGGCCCCGTGGGGCGGCCCGGCCCGCACGGTTCTCCTCCGCAGCTCCTCAGAGACTGACGGGGCGCGGCCTGGCCGCAGCCGCTTCCCCTCGCTGAGGACGAGCGCCGGGACCCGGCCACGACCGCCAGCTGGGACTGTCACCCCAGTGGGCAGCCTTGGCCCGTCACCGCCGAGCAGTGCCGCAGGCGCACGGAACCCGAGACTGGCTGGACCTCGATCTGGGACTTGGAGCAAAGAAACACTGACGCTGTCTCGACGGGTAGAACTGGGCGTCGGGAGGCTGCGCACCTGTCAGCTTGGCGGCGTCTTGGCCTGCAGCATCTCCAAAGGCCCGATTCGCGTTTTCTTCTCCATAACTTTGCTTCTTCCTCTGTGCTTTCCCCAAAAGGGAGTTATCGGAGATAAGGTTTAAGAAATAAAACGAAACCCACCTGAGGGACTAGCCTTTCGGACCGTTGCAGGGAACGCCCTTCGGCTGTCGGCTGGAGCTAATTCGGCTGAGGTGATGGGAGGTCCCGTGTCCGTGGTCTGGGTCTCCGAGCAGCTTCAAAAGGATGCTTCTGAGGCAGGCGTCAGCGAAGGGGTTTGTCTTCACTCTGGGAGGAGACGGGACCCTCCGCCGGGTGGAGAAGAGCATCTGCCCTCACCCTCCGGCATCGGAAAGCACCTGCGCGCCTGCCGATGGTTTCGAGTCTCTCGTGCTAAGTGGCATCTTCGTAGCGAACCAAAGCCAAGAGTTTGAGGCCCAGGGCTGGCCGGGGACCCCCGGGTCACCTCGCTCCCTCTGGGAGTGCGTCAGAGAACCGCGATGTCCTAAGAGAGTCTTCGCGTGTCCTTTATCTCGCGATGTGCAGATTGTTCCGTGCTTGCTGGGAGTGGGGCTTTAGCAGCTCTCGGGTAGCCGAGTACGAGGCCAGAGCTTCTGGGACCAGCAGTCCGCGACGATCTCTCACCTGCGATCGCCGTGCTGTAAATCGAGATTCTTCGTGTTGGAAACACAGCCGGCCCGAGGTGGTTTATGTGGGGTTTGGGGTTGACACCGTGTTCACTGCTGCTTATTAAACGAGCGATTTCACCAAATCTCTCGATTATTAAAGGATGCTTTTGGAAACCAGACACAGTGTAACTAGATGATGGCTAAATACAAAATTCTTGGGATTTGTTTGTGTTATTTTTTCTCATACGGATTTTAAATTACTGCCAACTTCAGAAGTGTTCCTAAAGTACAAAGTAGTGTTAAGTAAAATTTGAAAGCTTTGGAAAAGTTTGTATTTTTGATAAAAATTTGAAATAAATCTCTAAATTTTTTCTGGTATATGACCTTGACATTTTCTTGTTTTGGGTTTTTCCCTTGGGTTTTTTTTTTCATTCTTAATGAAATTTGTATCTTAAAGACTGCAACCATAGGGTTTGTTAAAAACTGTAGAGGCTGGGCGTGGGGGCTCACACCTGTAATCTTAACACTCTGAGAGGCCGAGGAGGGAGGATCGCTTGAGGTCAGGAGTTGAAGACCAGCCTGGGCAACATAGCGAGACCCCGTCTCTACCAAAAATAGAAAGAAATTAGCTAGACAACGAAAAATACATAGAAAAAATTAGCCGGGCATGGTGGCTCATGCCTGTAGTCCCAGCTACTCGGGAGGCTGAGGCAGGAGGATCGCTTGAGCCCAGGAGTTGGAGGTTGCTGTGAGGCTGACACCACGGCACTTTAGCCTGGGCCACAGAGTGAGACTCTGTCTCCAAAAAAAACAAAAAAGGGCAGCTCTAATCGTAGCATTTAGAAGCCTCACATGCTAAAGGCCACTTTGTTTTGGTTTCACTTAAAGTGAATGACTCGCGCCTCACGCGTCCCCCTAACGTGCTAGAAGAGGTGGCAGAGCCCCGGCGTCCTGGGCTGACCTGGCACAGACTGAGCTCTGAGTCCCAGGTCTGCCACCCACCGGCCGTGCGATGTTGGGCAAATCGAGGGTCTCTGAGCTTCAGTTTCCTCATCTGTGAAATGGGGACGACACACGCCTGCCTCACGGCGTTGCTGCGAGAACCGAACGGATAAAATCTACAAACCGCTGACGCGTGGCTCTTACCTTTCCACTCGTGTTGCTGCCTGTCCGTGCGCCACGGGCCGCGTCTGCCCGGAGGCCGGCACTTTGGGAAAAGCCACTCACTCGCCACAAGCAGGTGCGTGGTAGCTTTCCAAAGCCCGCCGTGTGTTTCGTTTCCGTGATGCCTCCTGGGAGCGGACACGTCCCTTAGCTCTGCCAGGGCTCAGCTCTGGGCGTGAGACTGGTTTCCACGGCAACCCCAGTCTGTTTCCCAACTAGAGTTCCAGCCCCGTGAGTCACAGCCCCAGTGTTGTTTGTTTCCCTTGGTTAAAACGGACTCAAATTCTTGATGGCTCCACTCAGAGACTAAACAGTGTCTCCTCAGACGCACATAAAGAGTCCACGCGTGTAAAGGTGAGTTCCCGGCCTACACGTAAACAAAGTCTAGTCTTCCGTGTAGTCTCAACACAGGAACGAGTTACTCTGTCGCCTGGATGTTCTTGGCCAACGTAAAATCTGGAAGCAGCCAGACACGGCACACACCCCACGGCTACTCGGGAGGCTGAGGCGGGAGAACTGCTTGAGCCCAGGAGTTTGAGCCCAGCCCGGGCAACACAGCAAGACCCCACTACTACCAAAAAAAAAAAAAAAAAGCTGAAAGACCACGTAGAACCAAGTCCTTTTAGAGAAATGCTTTATTTTTTCTGAAAATGTTATAAAAGTTATTTCTCTTGAACATCTATAATGCACAGAGCTTTGAAAGTTTGCCCAGTTATGAATGGAATCTAGTTTGACATCGATCCACTTTTATTGATACTAACATCTCTTTAGCTAGCAATTAGCGTTGTCTTTCCTGATTTTAGCTTCGTTCTAGTTTCCCGCCACCACGAAACGTCACTTTGCAGACGGATCCCACCAATGCCACGGCCAGGTGGCCTGTCCCTGTGCTCTCCCCACCACGGAGAGGCAGCGCGTGGCAGTGAGTGAACCCGACTGGGGCCGAACGAATGGCCTGCGGAGACACGGCCCGCGTCTGCGATGGGCGGGGACGCCTGTCTGATGGGGGGAGACCGACTGGAGTCCCTGAGTGCCCCAGAATCCGACTGCACCGGTGTCCAGAAAAGCCCCCGGTGGCTTCTACACAGAAACCGACCACGGTCCCGGGACGGGAACAACAGGTCTAGCAGGCGGAGAGCGGCTCGTGGGAAAGTCTGTAGCTCGGGGAGCAGGTGGGCTTTGGGGGGAAAAAGCACTGAAAGTCGCTCGCTGGGTGAACGTGGCGAGGGCTGGGGCGGCCCAGACCCGCGGCCTCCACCCCAGCCTCCGCCTTGGCCTCCACCCCGGCCTCCGCCTCGGCCTCCCCTCTGCCCAGCCGCCCCCAGTGGCCGTCCCACAGGGAAGACGCCGCCACCCGGGCGGGCGCGGGCGCCGGGTCACAGCTTCTCGAAGGGGAACAGGTGCGCGGCCTCCGCCTGCCTTTCCCGCCGGGTCTTCCGGGAGCTCTTCGGCGCCTGCTGCTCCTCAGCCGCTCGGTTCTGGGGCCAGGAGGCCGCCCGGACCTTGGCCGCCTGCGCGCGCGAGCTGGGCCCCTCGTCCTCGTCGGAAGAGAGCCCGGCTCCTGCAGCCGCGTGGGGCGCTGCGGCCTCGCTCTGCGCGGGGACAGTGGGGGACACAGGCCGGGGTCAGCGGCCCAGCGCCGGGAAGCCCCGGCCCAGACCTCTCTTCCGGAACCTTCCTCGCCCTGGGGCCCGTCCAAGCACACGCTCGACACCCGCCCGCGGCCCGGCCGGTGGCAGGGGCAGGAGAGGCCTGAGCGGGAACTCAGACCCGCGGCACGGACGGGAGTCGGGGGGTGGGGGGGACGCCGAGGCAGCGCCGCAGCCCGGCTCCGGGAACACGGCAAGGACACAGCAAGGACACCGCAAGGACACGGGGCCGCGAGCAACCGCCCGTGACTCGCGTCCGGGGCTCCCGCGGGGTCGCGACTGACCTGGGGCCCGTAGCGGAGCCGCAGCCTCTCCCTGATGAGCAGCCCCTTGACCAGCGCCGCCCAGCGCGCCACGGCCCGCCGCTCCCTGCGCTGCGGGCGGAGGCGCAGAGGGAGGGACGTGAGCCCCGAGCGCAGCTGCGGACGCAGGTGCACGCGTGCACGCACGCACACGCGCACACACACATGCACGCACACACGCACACGCACCCACGCCCACACGCACATGCACCCACACGCGCAAACGCACGCGCACACGCATCCACACGCGCGCACACGCACACATGCACCCACACGCACGTGCACACACGCACACGCACCCACACGCACGTGCACACGCATCCACATGCACATACACACCCACACGCACCCGCACGCGCACGCACGCACCCGCACGCGCACGCACGCGTGCACACACGCACACGCACGCGTGCACACACGCACACGCACCCACGCGCGCACCCGCACACACACGTGCACACGCACTCACACTCGCACCCACGCGTGGCTTCTCGGCCACGCGGAGCCTCACTTTGGAAAACGGCTCTGACCCGACGGGACAGCCCAGTGCGGCGGCGGCGCCCACTCACCTCCCTCTCCTTCCTCTCGGCCAGCGCCTGCTCCGTCTCCCAGGCGCTCAGCAGCACGTCGCGGAACTCCTCGCAGACCACGTAGCCGTCCGTGCTGTGGGGACGCGCACGGTGACCCCGCTGGGCCCGCCCCGCCCCGCCCCGCCTG